CCTCTTCTGGGGTCATATAAAATCTATGTGATCCTCGAGTGATATAAAACCACTTTTCATCAATATGTACAACATTATCCATGCATTTGAATTCAATAGCTTGTTGTATTGATGCAACAACAATTCGATCAAGTGCAAACTCCAGCATGAGCAGCTTGTTTGGAGCTGTCAAATCAAGTCTAAGAGCACTTGTGTGGGCTCTTAAGACTCCCGTTGAATACCACCTCCAAACAATGGTTTTTGAGCATTTAATAGATGCAGCAAGACTACGAATAGATCCTCTTTTTTTCAAGGGAACACGTGCAATAATTTCATAGTTTGGAAGCACTTTCTTACGCTTCAAAACAGTCTTTTTATTACCACTTAATTGCACAACTCCACAATTTTTCTAATTGTTTTTTGGCTTATTTCCAATACCGACTAACTGTAAATTTAGAACATGAAAACATCTTTTGCACTTCCAACATTTTACCAAAAGTAGGTTTGCCATTTTTGAGATTTATAAGTAAAAATTGCACTATAGCATTCCTTTCTTTGTCACTAAATTCTCTACTCTTTGTCATTGAAGGCCTGAGGTAAAAGAAAGAATTGTGTTATTTGATGTCAGAGAAAGTATAATTGAAAAGAAGGTAAAAAACAGTATATTTCATTACTCTATATACTTGAATGCATTAAAAATTTATTAATGTTGAAGAATTTGTGTACCTTTTTCGAAAAAGCTTTATATTTCTTGTTGTTTTGCCTTCATGATAATACCAGAATATTATTGATTCTTTTATTCTACAATGCATTGAATGAATATGGGTTGTGCTCCTTTCAAGTGCATTTATAGCACCTCAACTATTTGGGAGGGAAATATTAGGAGAAAAATTTGATTAGGTACTAAATGTATTTTTAATGATGTTAGATATTGTTGTTGTTAGTTTTGGTGATATTAAAAGTAATGATTGCTTTTGGAAGAAATATTAGGATGGAAATGAATATTTGACAATTGTAATTTTTTTTTTATATTAGCCGTAATGATTGCCTTTTTGAAGGAAATATTACGAGGGAAATAGTTTTGTTTTTTTATGAAATTGTTGGTTGTTGTTTGATGTTGTTTGGATATTGATAGTATTAGTTTTGTTGTTGGTGGGAGTATTTATATAACTGAGTGTGCACAAGATCAGCTCATCTTGTAGTTTTAGCAGCACTGCTACTACATAAATTACATGTACATATCATATACATGGTACATACATATATGTATATATATAAACTCAATATGTATTCTCACCAGCTTCGTCTACTGCCTTAAGTGAATCCACATATTCCGGAGGCAGTTGCGGGCAATATTGCTGCACAACCAAAACAGACGCCATTGAGAACTCTAGGCAATTTTCTAATCGATTTGTAATGGTTCATTTGGTGTTTTTGTAAATTGATCACTAATTTTCAATAAACACAATTTTTAAATATTTAAATAAAATAAATAATTTTTCTTCAATTTACAATTAAAATTATTAATTTTAACCATTTTAATTTAATATCTTTAAATAAAAAAAATAAATTTATTTTTTATTGTAACATTTAAATATTTTAAAATTACTATTATCACCACTTAAATAAAAAAATTAATAAATTAATATTATAATTCAATATCATTAACTCTTTAAATACAACTATCTTAAATATCGTGTCCAACTCAAAGGTATCAAGTGTAAAGGGATGAAAGGAGTAGTATTTATTAGTAGTATATTTACATTTAAGAGAGGGTGAAAGAGGAAAATTTGAATTATTTAATAGCTTCAGAAATTTCCGAAATATTTTTTTTAATTAAAAAATAATATATTTAAGAAAAGATCGGAAATTCCAAAGCTATTTCATTAATAAATATAAATAATATATAATAAAGTTTCGAAATTTCCGAGACTATTTTATTAATTAAATATAAATAATATATATAATAAATTATCTCGGAAATTCTGAGACTAACTTTCTTAATTAAAAAATAATATATATGATAAATTGTCGAGAAAATTTCGAGAAAACTTTCTTGATTAAAAAATAATATATAATAAAGTTTCGGAATTTTTGAAACCATTTTATTAATTAAATAAAAATAATATATATAATAAATTGTCTCGGAAATTCTGAGACAACTTTTTTAATTAAAAAATAATATATAATAAAACTTCGAAATTTTTTAAACTATTTTATTAATTAAATATAAATAGTATATATAATAAATTATCTCAGAAATTCCGAGACAATTTTCTTAATTAAAAAATAATATAAAATAAAGCTACAAATTTTTTAAACTATTTCATTAATTAAATATAAATAATATATAATAAATTGTCACGGAAATTCTAAGGCAACTTTCTTAATTAAAAAATTGTATATATAAAAAAGCTTCGAAATTTCTAAGACTATTTTAATAATTAAATATGAATAATATATATTATAAATTGTTTCGAAATTTCTGAGACAAATTTTTAATAAAATAATATATATATATAATAAAGCTTTGGAAATTCCGAGACTATTTATAATGGACTCGGAAAATTCCGAATCTTGTAGCAATAGTCACGGAATGACCTCGGACATTCCGTGTCTTTTAAATTAAATAATATTATATAAAATATTGTCTTGGAATTTCCGAAGCTATTGGAATAAAAATTATTTAATATTATTTTTAATAACTTCATAATTGATTCCGAAGCTTTTTTTCGAAGTCGATTTTCAAATTTCTGGTAGTGGTAGCGTAAACCTCTTAGGTTGTCAATACTATATAAGTTCAAGTTTTAATTAAATTAAGTTTAAAGAGAGTTAGTGTAGTATAAGTTAAACCTATAGGGTGTGTTTGTCTGAGGATTTAGATTTTGAGTTGGGATTTGAATAGTAAAAATTTTGAATTTGAATAATTGTATGATGTGATATAAATAAGTGTTGATGTGATGTTTTGAATGTAAAATTAATTTTTAATATAATATAAAAAATGAAAAATAGGTGTTTGATTTGATATTTTTGAGGGGATATAATGTTTGTTTATTATATATTTTGCGATGGATGTGTGTGTGTATTTTTTTTTTTTTGTTTTTTTTTACATAGGTATGAAAAATTATGTCAATAATATTAAAAATAATATTTTGTATTGAATTACTGATTTTTTTTTAATTAATAAAGTGTATATATTTTAAATATTGTGCTAATATGCGTATATATTATTTTTATGACATTTCTAGAAAATTCTACCACTAAAAAGCAAAAGTGAATATAGTTTTAATATAAGATTATACAGAAGTCTGGTATATGATTGATAAATGACTTGCATTTTTAAATTGTATGATTTGTCTTATTAAGAAAATATATGCAACATGGTGATTTCTAGTATCTTAGGTTAATGAAGAGCTTCAACGACACAAGGAATTCAAACCCTGTTTAGATATGAGCCTGTTTGGGAAATAGTTTTTTTTGAAGAACTTTTAGTTTATTGAACAGTTTTTAGTTGTTTGATCAGTCAAAAAGATAATTTAGATGTTTGGTGAATTAACTTTTTGAAAGAGCTTTTTGGACCCAAAAAGCTAATTTGTGAAAAGTTCATCTGCCCAGCTTTTTGAAAGAACTTTTTTCATTTTAATTTTGATTATTCCTTATTTACCTTTAAAATTTAATTATTTATTTTATACATATAAATATATTTTTATAGCAGTATTTATTAATTATTTTTAATATATTTAATTTATTATATTATATTTTTATTTTTGTAAATTTAAAATAATTACTATTATTAATTATTTACAAACCGCTAATTGAATCAGCTAGTCAAACCAGCTAATTGAATCAGCTAACAGCTAACAACTAAAAGCTATCGACTAATTGCCAAACACACTCATAGTTTTTTAAAGTTTTGAAAATTTAAAAAAAATTGAAAATTAGTAAAAAAAATAAATACTTATTGTGATATTTTAAGATAAAAAATAATTATATACTTTTATTAAAAACCATACGGACTAAAAAAATATGAAATTTAGGTGTATTCTATTGGATTTTTAAAATTTAGGTGTATTCAATCCAAATTTTTAAAGATTATATAATTCAAACTTTTAAAAGTCTTTTAAAATTTGGGGTATTCAATTCAAACTTTTAAAAGTCTTTTAAAATGTGAAGGTATCCAACAATCCATAAATTTTTAATGTCTATGAATTTTATTTGATTTTATAGGAAAGTTATGAAAAAATTGTATAATACAAAATCTCTCATGATGGATTCTTAAAAATATGTTATTATTATTATTATTATTATTATTATTATTATTATTATACGTGATAAATATTAGGATAGTATTTATGTAATATTTTAATAAAATAATAATAATTTCAAAATATATTAGTGAAAAATGATAATAATTTTTAAAAATATAATATAATAGCAAATTATACCAATTTTTTTTGAAAATAAATATTTTTAATTGAAAATTTTTATTTAATAATTTTGTTATACACGTAGCGCCTACGAAGGTGCTACGTATTCGATATGTCTGCTTTTATTTCCTTCGTGTTGGGGTTTGTTGCCTATAAATATACCTATAAACACTGCACTGCAATTTCCTCTCAATTTCCTCTTCTCTCTGCATTTGCATTTGATTACTGCATTATATAATATTATATATATATATATCTTTACATATATACTATACATCTATATATTATAATATACACACCTATATACATATATGTATGTTTACTTATATATTATATGTTCATAGTATATAATATAATACTAAATATAAAATAGTGGTTAGCGGTAGAAATAATTAATATTTCTATTGGCTAATCCTACAATAATATTACAACATGTTATCAGCACGATTATATATTTTAATTTCCGCAAAGTAATATTTTATATTTTATCTGTTTATTATGACTAACCTTGCCAAATAGGAATTTTTCCCTCTCTTTGTTTCTGGCCAAAATTATATGGCATGGGTTCGCGATGTTAAAATGCATCTGGCATCAATGGGCTTGGAAAATACTTTTACCCGGAATAAAAACTCTCCGAGCCAAGATTGTGCAAAGGCCATGATCTTTTTGTGCCATCACATCGATGAAACACTGAAAATGCAGTATGTCACGCTGGAATCCCCACTCGAATTATGGGACAGATTGAAAGAAATATATGATCATTTGAGGCTGACATTGTTGCCAAGGGCACGAAGCGAATGGCAAAGCCTACGGCTTCAGGACTTTAAAACAGTCCAAGAATATAATTCTGCAATGTTTAAAATAACATCACAGCTGCGCCACTGTGGCGAAAATGTATCTGAATCTGATATGATGGAGAAAACTTTCTCCACTTTTCATGCCTCTAACATGGTTTTGCAGCAGCAGTATCGCGAAAGAGGCTTCCAGAAATATTTTGAGCTGATCACCTATCTTTTGTTGGCCGAACAAAATAATGAATTGCTGCTGAAAAATAAAAAAATCTCGGCCGACATGTGCAAATCCATTTCCAGAGGCAAATACAATAAGCCGGCAAATCCGATGCGTGGTCGTGGGCAAGTCAGAAATCAGCGAATTGATCGCGATCGAAATCAGAATCGCATACGGGGCCGGGCAAACGCATACAGTCACAATAATTATCAAAACAAGCCCCGATATGTGCCAAATCGGCGATATAATGACAGAAGGCCGTACATACCTCAACAGAGGTTCAACACCGGAAGAAACAAAAATAATTACGAGGAATACACCCGGTGTGGAATCAAAGGCCATTGGGCCCATGTTTGTTGCACAGCCAGTCACTTGGCTGAACTATATCGGGCCTCAAAAGAAAGACATGGAAGAATTTCCCCCGAAAAAAATCACGTTGCCCACGATAACACATTTGACGATATGATGAATGAAAATATCACGCACCTGGATGCCGATGATCTGCTTGATATAGCTGATGATGTTAAATGATAAAATATTATTGTATCTATTTTGTTATTTTGATGTTTTATGCCCCCCTTTTTGTATTACCTCCTATAATGTAAGACTATTTTGATTATGTTACTAATACATGTCTTTTATTATTTTTACCTTCTTGCAAAGATATGGATGCCAAATATTTTGGAGCCAATGCCTTATCGACAGTGCTACGACTCACAGTATTCTGAAAAAAAAAGTTATTTCTCCCATCTTAATATGGGAAAGACCACAATTGTTACTATAAGTGGTGCATCGAAAATAATTGAAGGCTCAGGAAAAGCTATTGTATATCTCCGAAAAGGGACAAAAATGGCAATTGAAAATGCCTTGTTCTCGAGCAAAGCTCAAAGGAATTTACTGAGCTTCAGTGATATTCGGAAAAATGGGTATCACATTGAAACATTAAATGATGCAGAAAATGAATATCTTCTGATAACTCAGGTTGTGAATGACAAAAGAATTGTGAAAGAAAAATTGTCATCATTTTCTTCCGGCTTATATTACTAAAAAATCAGTGCTATTGAAACATATCACCTAGTAGACTAAATAGCTACTAGCGAATTTAAAACTTGGCACGATTGACTTGGGCATCCTGGCAATGTAATGCTGAGGCGAATTGTTGAAAATTCAAATGGCCACTCATTGAAAAAGAACAATATTTTGAGTCCGAATGAGTTTGCTTGTGCTGCCTGTTCCCAAGAGAAGTTAATAATCAGGCCATCTCCAACAAAGGTTGATTTGAATCCCCAGCTTTTCTGTAAAGAATTCAGGGTGATATTTGTGGACCAATAGATCCACCATGTGGACCCTTCAAGTACTTTATGGTACTAATTGACGCGTCAACGCGATGGTCACACGTATGTCTGTTATCTACTCGTAATCTAGCCTTTGCTAGACTACTTGCACAAATAATTAAATTGCGAGCACAATTTTCAGATCACCCGATAAAGAAAATACGTCTAGATAATGCTGGAGAATATTCATCACATACATTTGATGATTACTGCATGTCAATTGAGATTACTGTGGAACATCCTGTTCCCCATGTACATATGCAAAATGGCCTGGCTGAATCCCTTATCAAAATATTGCAATTAATTGCTAGACCATTATTAATGAGGTCTAAACTCCCCGTATCATGTTGGGGACATGTTATATTGCATGCAGCAGCCCTCGTGAAAATAAGGCCGACAAGTTATCACTGTTATTCCCCCACTCAATTGGTTTCTGGAAAAATACCAAATATATCTCACCTGCGAATATTTGGGTGTGTTGTTTATGTTCCAATTGCGCCACCTCAACTCACGAAAATGGGACCTCAAAGAAGGTTGGGTATATATGTCGGATATGAATCACCCTCGATCGCAAAATATCTTAAACCAACAACGGGTGATTTATTCACTGCAAGGTTTGCAGACTGTTATTTTGATGATTCTCATTTCCCGACATTAGGGGGAAACAGTAATCAACTGAAAAAAGAAATTTCGTGGAAAACACCACTTGAATTTGATCCTCGTACGAAACATAGTGAACTTGAAGTTCAAAAAATTGTGCATTTGCAGAAAATTGAAAATCAATTGTCTGATGCTTTTAATGATGCTGCCAGAGTTACGAAATCATATATTGCAGTAGCAAATGCACCAGCTAAAATAAATATCCCAGAAGGGAAAGTGTCGAGTGCTAATGAGCATACTGCCCGCGTAAAACGTGGCAGACCATTGGTTTCCAAGGACAAGAATCCACGAAAGAAGAAAATTGTAAATACTGGTGAAGAGATCAATAATGATCAAATACCTGAAAAGGTCAGTACAACCCCTGAAGAGGTTGATACTAAAAATTCTGATGAAAGTGATGATGAAGTTATTGAAACTTCTGTTAACTATACCACCAGTGGAAAATATTGGAACATAAAGAAAACAAATATTGATAATGCATTTGCATATTTTGTAGCACTTGATATAATGAAAGATGACGAGGATTATGAACCAAAATCAGTTGATGAATGTCGGCAAAGAGATGATTGGGCAAAATGGAAAGATCCAATTAAGTCTGAACTGGACTCATTGAAAAAACGGCAAGTATTCGGTTCTATAGTCCAAACACCGGAAAATGTGAAACCTGTTGGTTACAGATGGGTGTTTGTGAGAAAAAAAAATAAAAATAATGATATCACAAGATATAAAGCAAGAGTTGTAGCCCAGGGTTTTTCCCAGAGACCGGGTATTAATTTTGAAGAAGCATATTCTTCGATCATGGATGGAATAACATTCAGGTATCTGGTGAGCCTGGCAGTACACAATAATCTTGATATGCGATTAATGGATGTGGTTACTGCCTATCTTCACAGCTCTTTAGACAATGGCGTCTATATGAAAATCCCAGAAGGGATCAACATACCTGAATCATTTAAATTAAAGCCAAAAGAATCATATTCCATCAAATTGCAAAAATCTTTGTATGAGCTCAAGCAATCAGGCCGAATGTGGTATAATCGTCTCAGCGAAAGCTTAACCAAAGAAGGTTATATAAATGACCCTATATGTCCATGTGTTTTTATAAAGAAAAATGGGTCTGAATTTGTAATCATCGCTGTATATGTCGATTATCTCAATTTAATTGGAACTCATGATGAAATCCAAAAAGTTGTTGAACATCTAAAAAAGGAGTTTGAGATCAAAGATTTTGGAAAAACTAAGTTTTGCCTTGGCCTGCAAATTGAGCACTTGGAAAGTAGAACCTTCATCCACCAATCAAATTATACAAAAAGGTACTGAAACAATTCATGATGGATAAATCACATCCGCTAAGTACCCCAATGATCGTCAGAGCACTCGATCCAATAAAGGATCCATTTAGACCAAAAGAGGAAAATGAAGAAACACTTGGCCCAGAAGTGCCATATATGAGTGCTATAAGCGCATTGATGAATCTTGCTAACATCACCCGACCTGATATATCATTTGTTGTAAATTTATTGACAAGATTCAGTTCATCGCCTACTCGACGATATTGGAACAGGATTAAGCACATTTTTCGCTATCTCCAAGGAACAATTGATCTCGGGTTATTTTACTCAAAAGATTCTCGACATGAATTAATTGGTTTTGCCGATGCAGGATATTTATCGGATCCTCATAAAGCCAAGTCGCAAACTGGCTATATATTTACTTGTGGCAAAATAGTGATCTCTTGGAGATCGATGAAACAAACTTTAACTGTCACTTCTTCAAATCATGCTGAAATATTGACAATACATGAAGCTAGTCGAGAATGTGTTTGGTTGAGGTCAATGACTCAACATGTTCTAAATGAAATGAAACACCGCACTGCAATTTCCTCTTCTCTCTGCATTTGCATTTGATTACTGCATTATATAATATTATATATATATATCTTTATATATATACTATACATCTATATATATATGTTTACTTATATATTATATGTTCACAGTATATAATATAATATCAAATATAAAATAATGGTTAGCAGTAGAAATAATTTGTATTTATTGACTAATTCTATAATAATATTACAACAAATTCTTATTTTTTGGTTGTATACAAAAATATGTAAATAAATTTTAATTAAAAAAAATATGAAGATGATTTGAACCCAAATCACTTGACAATGAGATATTATTCTTCCCCATATCCATTGTATCTCATTGTCAGTTTGCATTATTTGTTACATTAATAATACATCTACACATATTAAAAAATTATATTAAAATTCTAATAAATTAAAACAAATTAATATAATAAATAGTAATATAATTAAAATTATAAAATATAAAATATTAATATATAAAAATATTATTATTCTATAATTATTATACGTTATTAATAATATATAATATTCTATAATATAATTATAGAATATAATACTGTGGACTATATACTTATAAAATATGTTTGCAAATCTAAAATAGTCGCCGCCGCGGTCTGTGTTTGCATAATCGCTATCATTGTTTTTGTGCAAACTTTTTGTTTTTCTCCTCTCTGTAGGATATACGGATATATAGAAATAATTGACAAATTGTGAGAAATGGAGTATCATCCATTCAAATCAAAATATAAATTATATTTCAAATTAAATCTTAAATAAATTGATTTATTTATAATTTTAATTTTAGTTTTACTTTATTTTTCTAAAATTATGTTTTTACGAAATATCATACTTAAAATTTATTATTTATATAAATTACATATTTTATTTTAAAAATTCAAGTTAAGTATTATTATTATTATTATTTATATTAACTGCTGGCTTTTCCATATCAGATTAAAAAATAAAAAATAAAAAACAAATAATAATAATAATAATAATAATAATACAAAACAAACACCGATTTTATCCGATTGTTTCGTAGTATTTGTTAACCGACCCAAAAATTCCATCATATATTTTAAAATCATAATAATAATAATAATTTAAAAAAAAAAAAAAAAAAAAAAAAAAACGTAAATGGCGGCCCACAACAAATGAGCGAGCACCCATACCAAACAAAGCAACAGCAGCATCGACTCAAAGGTGTAAATGGCGTCGTCAAAATCGCAATCACCGCCATATCCAAGCGCTTCCAGACTCGCCGATTCAGAATGCTTCTCTGCTTACAGTGACTCTCTCAAATGTCTGCTTTTTCTGCTTTGTTTTACCTTTTCGTTTATGTTTAATTCGGAATCTTTTGCTGAGAACTCTGCGGTTTTCGGAATTCGGGAAAAGGCATGATCGATTCATCTGGAAATTGTAAATTCTCAATTTAAAAAACTAGTAACCCTAGCTTTGAACTCAATTAGGCAATGATATGTGATTGTTGGGTTTTAGGGTTAGAAATTTGAGGAATTTGATTGTCGAAGTTATACATATACACATGTATGTACTTTTGTTTATTGGATAGAACGCAAGCGAGTGCTGTAGAGTGTAGACCAGATAAATTTATACTGCAAAACTCTGCTAGCAAGTGATTGAATTTAAGTTTTTTATTGGAGAAGTGAAAGTTGATTTCTCTTTCGAAGCTTATGTTTTCGCCTGAGTTTCAACCGGAGGATTCATAGTTTGAGAATTCTTCCTCCTTTATATTTTGATTTTGGATAGTAACAGTGATAAATGGTAAATGTTTCTTGGTTAACATTTTGGCATATCAAACGCTTCCCCACTAGACTATCCAAGTTATGTGATCTCCAAAGAATTTAAATTTGCTTCAGTGTTTCAAACTTTTGGAATCTTGTAATTTACTCGGTAAATCAATAATTTTAGATTCGATGAATGGAATTCACAGTGAAGTTGGTCATAAGGATTGTAGAATCAGTGGTAGGGATTTTGAATTCAGCACATGGAATTGGTAAAGTTTATTAATTTCATTCTTGGTTGTCTACTTGTTATAGGTTTTGTGTAGTTGCATACTTGCATATCAAGTTTGTGCCAAATTTATCCATTTGTGCATAACTGAGATCGGTTAGTACACCAAGTTTCCACATTTGATCTGAATTCGTTAGAAAAGATTGGCAGAATGTTGTAGAACCAATTTGGCAGTTTTAAAAAATTTTAATTATGCAAAGTTCCAAATTTATCACATTAATATTGATGAAGGTGTTTGTACTAGAAATGTGCCTATTGATATTGTTCTTTTCCTACTTGGCTCGTATTTGAACAGAGACAGCACCTGGTGCTCTTAATTGGTGACTTATTATTATTCTTATTACTTTTTTGGGTTTTGGATTCTGGTTTAAATAGTGCGTTGGATGTTATGCTTTATGAGATAAAATAGTATATTTTAATAAACCGTGAGGATTGCATAGTAATAGAATTAAAAAAAAAAAAAAAAATCTCAGAATAAATAAAGCCCTAGATTTAGTGCCAATAAGTTTGCGGCAATGTTTATGTTGTTGTATGGTAAAAGATGAAGTTATGTACATATGTAATGTTGAGGAAATTCCATGGCAGTGATTTCTCATGAAAGCTTAGTTAATCATCTCTCATTGTGTTGAATTTTCTGGATACTGCAATTATAGATTGTCGAACTTTATTGCTATCTTTCTAACATTTCAGGCTTAGAATCGAATACCACTGACAAGAGTAAATGTCAAGAATATTTTGACGTATACAAGGAATGCCGAAAGAAGGAGGTATACAATGTTCATCTCAGGCAGCAACACTTCCTTTTCTATATTCATTAGCTAATTGTTTTTAGAATTACATACCGAACTCCATGATCAAACGTTAGTTTCTTTTTCTTTTTGTTGGTTGAAACAGAGGGAAGCCCGACTGGAACGCAACCGCCAAAGGTCTTTGTTTTCATGAGATCTTTGCTTAACAGAGGTACCACCATGTTTTAACAGCTCAAAATTTTCCATATGATATATTGGAAGAATGTCATGTTTTTTCTCGTATATTTGACTTTATGTTAATGCTAAATTATAATAAAGCATTTTTCACCCTACACTAGGAGAAATGTTTGTTTGATTCATTTTCTGTCTTCGAAAAATTAGCTGTACTTTGACTCTGAATTGTATTAGGAGATGATAACTGACATGCTGTTAAGTCAGTTGTTGGGGCTAAGGGTGAAGAGAAGTTTATAAGTTAATTATTTAGGAATTAAATTGTAATTAATATATAATTTATTAAAATAAAAAATTATTGAATAATTAACATGTTTCATAATTTGATTAGTTGGATTGGTGTTGTAGGGGACCGAGGAATCGATGCTCTGTTGGACCTAATATAAATAGATGTTCCGATTTTATGTTAGGGGGAATGTGAATAGTGGGAGTTGGAGCAACCCCGCAACCATACCCACACTGGGTTTGTTTGTTTGGGTTTTCATTAAATCTAGTAACTATTTTTTTAGTTAAAAATATATATGATCTTCACTTGGTGTTTTGTGTGTTTTGTGTTTTGCTTTTTGTTTCTTTTGGATAAAATAGTTAAATTTTTATAGTTTAGATGTAAGCTTGATAAACATATTAAAAAAATTGGAAAAAAAAAAAAAAAAAAACTAAAAACTCATAATACATTCTAAACTGTCCATGTCGCTTATTTGGCCGAGTTGACATAAGACAATAAGCGACATTGTCTCGAATTCTTAATATCTATTTGGAGTTTGATCATCCCACATTGTCATGCTTGGAATTAGATTTGAAATCACCTTATTCAACGCAAATTCTAGATAAGACAAAATTAGTATCATCATTTATGAATTTTGCTTAGTCAAATGTAATTATGCAAAGTAAAATATGCGAAAATGATTTTTTTTTGGTCTCTCACTGAATACATCAGCCTTTCTTTTAGTATTTTCTGTCGAGACTTTAGAACTCTAAAAGCCTTTTTCAATACAATTTCTTAACAATGAATGATAGTAATGGAATGTTTCACGATATTCCTTTGGATCATTTTCACGAATTTCTGATTGACTGATGGCACTGTCTTTGAGTATATGGTCAAAAATTATTTATTTTTGGATAATTTGTCTACCAAATAATATTTTCCTAAAAATACAATAATATTATTGTATAATAAAATAATTATTTCTAAATTAATATTTAAAATATAAAAAATTACCTATGGGAGGTTTTGGAAAGTTTAATATAGGATTGTCGATAGTGTAAAATTTTACGTGCACCATGTATGAATTCCTCCCATCCGGTCAAAATGTAAAGTTAATAATAAGTCGAAATTGTATATGGCTAGAACATTAATATTTGCGGTGTATTTCTTTTTGTGGAAAAAACTACACACATTTCCCTAAAAATATAAATATATATACATACTCGTTATTTTTATATTAACTATACAATTTCTTATACCTTATATAAAAAAATATCATTTTAAACCAAAATACAAAACAAACAAACTCCATTGGTGTTTCTTTTCGTTCTTTATATCATAATTGTATTTGTTCTGAAACAACCACGGTGATTGTTCTTATGTTGTTAATAGCTCCGATACAATCCTAACAATATATAAAAGTTTGGAAATGAATTTGAAAATTAGCTAATGCAAAACTTTGAAGAAGAAACTAAAAGAACCATGTATGGCTTGTAGCGAGGGTTGTTAATGGTATATGATAGCATTTCGTTAAAATGAGGGTTGTTAATGCTATACAATAGCATTTCGTGGAATTAAGGATCTCCTAGTTATCTATATATATATATATATATAAATAAGAGATTGGTGTAGATTCACTTCACTAAATTTTTTTTGTCATTTTTTTTAATTATTTAATAAAATAAATATGTATTAAATGCTATTAAATATATTATTAATTAATAAAATTATAATTAATACATTTTTAAAGATAATAAGAAAATTTATTTAAGTTTATAATTAAAGTAAATTATAATATAATTTTTATTTTCATTTATACCCCTATAAAATTTAATAATTTTGGAATTTAATTTTCATCATTTTTATAATTAATGCTAATTAGATTAATAATCAATAAAATTAAAAATAAATCATTATATTTTCTAATCCTAATATATATATACACCTATAAAAGTCATTAAGTGTTATAATTTTCTAAAAATAAAAATTATATTTAAAGAGGTTTTAAATGCTATGGATAGTCTTTCAATAAATATATTAAAAAATGAAAAAAAAATTATAAAATTATAAGACTTTTAAATATATATATATAAATATATATAGACTTAGAAAATATAATGATTTATTTTTTTATTATTAATCTATTAGCATTAATTATAAAAATGATGAAAATTAAATTCTAAAATTATTAAATTTTCATTACTCTTAAATAGGGGTATAAATGAAAATAAAATTATATTATAATTTATTTTAATCATAAAATTAAATAAATTTTCTTATTATCTTAAAAATATATTAATTATAATTTTATTAATTATGATATATTTAATAGCATTTAATACATATTTATTTTATTAAAAAAAATCAAATTATGAAAAAAAATTTTTAAAAAAATGATAAAAAAGATTTGATAGAGTGGATTCCACATCAATCTCTTATATATATATATAACTATTATGATATAATTAATAGCATTTAATACATATTTATTTTATTAAAAAAATTAAATTATTAAAAGAATAATAAAAAATGACAAAAAAATTTGGTGGAGTGGATCTTACATCGATTTTATATATATATATATATATATATGTATTTGTGACTTTTATAACATAAAAACAATACTAATAATTCTGCAATAGCTTTTTTGTTACATTATTTAGTTGTAGTTCCTGTTTGATGTTTAGGTGTATAACTTCCAAAAGTTTTTTAGCTTTATCGAAGAGTTTTAGCTATTTGACTAGTAAATCAGTTAATTTTTTTGTTTGATAAATTAGTGTTTAGTTTATTGGGTTTATAAAGCTAATTTTGTTTCATATCAGTTTTTTTTTTTTATTCATATATTTTTCCTTAAAATTAATGAATTCTTCATATATATTAATATATTTTTTATTACACTATTTATTAATTATTAAATTATATTTTCTTCTAATAACTTATAAATTCATTTTTATAAATTTAAAATAATTATTTTTTTATATGTCAATTATTTATTTATAAAATTTTTAAACTTTTAAAACAAAGATAGTATAAAAATATTGATATTATTAATTTATTTATATATTTTTTATAACATAATATTTATATTAAAGATAATATATTTATTTAAAATTATATGTTTGATGTAAATATATATTAATTAAAAATTAATTTAATAAAAATATATATACTAATGATTTTTGTTCTTTTATATTTATACTATTTTTAATGAAAAAAATATATATATTTTTTTAATAAAATTATATTAATTTTTTACAAAAAATTTAAAAAAATAAAAATAAATATTTTAATAAAATTTTTCTAATTTTTAAAATTAATAATTAAATTCTAAAAATACCTACTCACGGAGAAAATTTAACTAAATATTTTGTAAAATAAAATATAAATAAACATTTCAATTATATATTCGTACATTTTATTAGAGGTATTTTTAATAGTAGTTGGAAAATAAAATAAAATAAGCAATAAATTATATATGAAGTTTTGAAAAAAAAAAAATTAAAATAGCACAAAATTCTATGGTATTTAATGTGTACGAGAGAAAAAATAAAAATAAAAAAAGAAACATATTGATATAATTTTTTTATATATAAAAAATGAAATTATTATTACTAATAATACCAAAATTTTCAAAAGTTTATACATAAATAGAGCCTTATTTATTTGATAACAATCCATTTATTATTAAATACCATATTATTTTATTTGTTATATGATTTCATAATTATTAGACAAAATTGCTCATAATTCATTTGTATTTTAGAAAGACTTGTACAATTTTTTGTGGTAATTTAAAAATTACTTGAAACTCTATTGTGTTTTTAAATAAAATATTACATAAAATTTTTTTTTTTAGGAGTTTTTATATATGGGTGTGTTTGTTTAGGGGTTTGAATTTTGAGTTAGGATTTGATAGTAAAAATTTTAAATTTGAATAATTATATGATGGGATATAAATAGGTGTTGATGTGATATTTTGAATGTAAAATTAATTTTTAGTATAATATAAAAAAATGAAAAATAGGTGTTTAATTTGATATTTTTTGGAGGAAAAAAATAGGATGAATAGTGAAAATCTAATCCAATTCCCCAAACAAACACACCCATAAATTATGAGCAATTTTGTCTAATAATTATGAAATCATATAACAAATAAAATAATAGTTTAATTAAAATTAAGAAAATTATAAAATTTAAAATTTAAAATGCGATTAAAGTGCAAAAATAAAAAGGACAAGTTATATGGGACGGACGAAAATAGAAAGAACAAATTATATGGGATGGAGGGAGTATTATATTACACATTTATAACATATTAATATACTTAAATTCTTATTCTCGTATAAAAGTCAAAGAGATATTTTTACTCAGACAAAGGAGTATTTATTTACAATTATACTGTTGTATTACAATTATTTTTTCAATAATAACATAAATATTTTATACAAATAAATACTAACAACTATTTACTTTAAATATATGTTTAAATTTTTGTTTCAAAAGTAAATATATATTTTTAAATTTAATAAAATAAGTATTAAAATTTTTAACAGTATGTATATAAATAAAACTTTAAGTTTTAATTAATTTATTTTTAAAATATAGTCACTTTGTAGAAAATATTAATACCATAACTACAAGGTTTGCATAAATATATTTTGGAGTGTCAGTATTTTTTTTTTTTTTAATAAAAAGTACTTTTCTTTTTTTATATATATTTCTTCCGTCTCAAACACCCTGCAATATTTTCTTTTTGATATGTCCAAATCCAAACACACTGCAATATTTTCTTTTTGATATGTCCAAATACCCTGCAATATTTCTTTTTTGGTAGGTCCCAAATATCTTGCAACATTTACAAGATAGAAAATAATTAATTATACTTAATCTCTACCACACTTTATCCCATCACATCATCTAAATAAAAAAATAAAATACTCCCTCCCTCCAGCTACAAAGTATACATATTTCTATTTTGGGACGTTCAATTATAAAGTAACTATTTCATTAAATATCTCATTTTTTCATAAATACCCTTATTTTACATCACATCATTACTTTTATACCAAAAAGATAAGGGCAAAAATGTCATTACACTACTTTTACCCTACCCTTCGCGCCAAAAGTAAATGTATACTTATTGTTTGGACGGAGGGAGTATATATTTGTCTCTCCATCACATCACCTAATTTTTAAATTATCTTACTTAATACTATCCACCTAAAAACACGTGCCAAAAGCAAATATTGCATCCTGTTTGGGACGGAAGGAGTACTAAATTAAGAAATATAATATTTTATTAATTAATAAAAATATAAAATAATTTTGATATTTTTATCTTTTTAAGTACACAAAAAATAAATAATTTAAAAAAAATTAAAGGTGTTTTAATATTTATAAATAATTTACTTTTACTATAATTAAAAATATATTTTTTTTAATAAGAAAAACAAAAATAATAAAAATAATACACTGAGATGAAATATAAAAGTTAAATTTAGATAGAAAATAAACACACCCAAAAGCTTAACATGCAAATGAAGAGATTAATTTTGGTCAAATTATAAACAATTTCAGTCAATTTTGATCAAACGGTTAAAAAAATCACTAAAATCCATGAGTTTTTTTTATTTATTTTTTCTCTAATAATAATAATAATTTTAATGGGTTTTGGTAAGCACAATTTAAGAAATAAGCCTTTTTGAGGCCCACTATTAGGTAATGGGCCTAATGTCTAATAAATCCGTAAGACTATAAATATGAACAATGGAATATCTGGTGGTGTGTAAGAACAGCTAGCTGACTCTAGGGTTTCTGCGCTTCCTCGCCTCTCTCGCAGATCTGCGATGGTAAGTGCTGCTTCTCCTTACGTTGCTCTGTCAATTGCAGCCATAATCTGTTGCTATGTGATTTGATACTGCGTGAATTTGCTTGATAGCTTGTGAGTGTTGCCATTCCTCTGTGCGTAATTGCTGCGGCGTTAATTTCGTGGTGACTTTATTTGTTTTTACAAGTTCTGTTTCTATTCTTTTATGAGTTTTTGTTCTGGAGCCTGTTGATCAGCGTGATTTGCACATGTCGTGATTTTATTTTATTTTTAATTTTGTAATTTGTGTGCGAATGTAATGTTGTAGGTTATGTGGAGGTTAACCTCGCTGTCACTGTGTGACCTGCATTAATTTGATCTATGTAGAGATGTTCATGTGCAGATAACTAGATGTGTGCTATTTTATGTTATTACTATTTATCTGTGCAATGATTATTGGTTTTATCTTCACAATTGACATGTAATTTTGCAGGATTGCTTTTGGAATTGTTTAATGAATTCAAGTAACTCATATTTGTTATTCAATTCTTACTTGGAATATTTGCATTCATGATCCATGTTTTAAGAAATATGAATAGGAAATCTTAAGATATGATCTCATGCTCTGTTGTGTGATTGATTAATCCATCTTTTTTCAAAACCAAAAATTTTAAGGCAAATATAATTTATATGTATAGCTCTTATATAATATTTACAGTAAAACATAGTTAAGTGTTATATAATAATTGTTAGATCAATAGACCATTGAAGTGATCAACTTCCCAAAAGTTTAGCATATCACTTAAAACACTTAGGTAATATTGCCCTATCACTCAAAGTGATCTAGGTGCCTTAACCTAATACTAATTTTTTAAATTGTTTTGCAGGCCAAGAGAACCAAGAAGGTTGGTATTGTTGGGAAGTATGGTAGGTGCTTCATTCTTATAATTACTCCATTTCTATATGTTACTTACACAGCTCTTGCAATTCCCCCCCATTCCGGATGTAATATTTGAGCATGTTCCATTTTTTTGTCAAATCTCTGGTGGTTTTTGGCATCTCAAGAATGTAATTTTTATTCATATGTTATTTGCAACATTTCAGGCACCCGATACGGTGCAAGTTTGAGAAAGCAGATAAAGAAGATGGAAGTGAGCCAGCACTCCAAGTTTTTCTGTGAGTTTTGTGGAAAGGTATGCTTAAGCAGATATACATATATGATCCCTCCACCCCCCCCCCCCCCCCCCTTCTATTGTATCTCATGATTTGTCCATATTCTGTTTGTCAATTCATTAATGTTGGTTTGTGCCACAGTACGCAGTAAAGAGAAAGGCCGTTGGCATTTGGGGCTGCAAGGACTGCGGAAAAGTGAAAGCAGGCGGTGCCTACACACTCAAGTAAAACTTTATTCCCCCTTTACATATATCATAAAGTTGGATTTCTTATTTATCAAGTTACGACGTGTTTATCGTATCTGTTCTACAGCACGGCCAGCGCAGTGACAGTTAGAAGCACCATCAGAAGGCTGAGGGAGCAGACGGAGAGTTAGATTTAGTGAGGTCAGTTTTTCATTGCCAATCATGTGCGCCGCAGCACGGTTTCTTCGATTTTTAGTTTGAAATATATCGATATAGCTGTGATATTTTTTAGGCTTTTATTTGCAACTTTCATTTCTACGCTTGTGGCTAAATTGCAATTTTCCGATGCTTTTATTTGCAACTATGGGTATGTTCTTTTGTGTTTTGGATATTTTATTTTGTTTTGGTAAAGTAGATGTTGAATGCAATGTTTTTATTTTGATCTGTCTTATAAAAAGAATTTTTTTTTTTTTTAATTGTACTGTCTATCTAATATTACAAATACTCTTTCAATTAATAATATATTACACAAATATCGTTATTTTTATATCATATAATATTAATAGGGTTAATTTAGTCTTTTTACCCAATATTTTTAAAACACATAGATATGGGACGGAGGGAGTATTTCGTATGTCTCTATCAATATAGTGAAACCAAAAATATCAAAATGAAATGTGTTTATATATATATAATATCAAATTATATCTTTATTGTATGGCATTTTTTGGCATACCGAAATTTTAGTATTTTGTTATTTTTTGTTACTTCATCCGTTGTGCAAATGTGTGCTCATTTGATCGGGCATGATTTTTAATAAAAGTGAGTAATAATGGTTATTTTTTTTTTTATAGTAAAAAAAAGTATAAAAATATAATAATTTTTTATTTAAAAAGAAAACGAGAATATTTTTCATTGACAATTCGAACATATATTTGAATGACGGAAGATGTATGATATATATACACAACACTTTTGATAATTTTGTATGTTTTTCCAACCTACGCAAGCAAATCAAATCTTGTTCAAGTTTCCAAAATTGTTTAGTTTTTTAAACTTTTAAAAACAAGAAAAAAGTTGGTCATCTACATATAATATTGTGTGCAGGAAATAATATTTAAATTGATGTTTTTTAATAAAAAAATGAATATAATTGGATAGTATCAGAGTCTAAACTTTTATCTCATATACAAATTTATATATATATATATTTAAAAGCGTATGAACATCTACATGGAGTAGGATCTCTTAGGATGGTAGGTTTGGGAATAGTTGGTCATGGGTAAATAATAAAAAAATAAGGTAAAATTGCTTATAACTCTGCTGTGGTTTCGAAATTAAGCATAAAATTTCTCTATACTTTAAAAATTGCATGATACCCCTTATATTTTTAAAAACATTACATGAAACTCCATACTATGAAACTTTTCTCGTGTGATAAGGAGATGATTTTCTATTTATATGTTTTGCATGATAGGGGGCTTTATGCAATATTTTTGAAAGTATAAGTGAGCGTCACACAATTTTTTAAAGTAAAATGGGGATTTATGCTGAGTTTCGAAACCACAAAGTGATTTCATGCAATATTTTTTAAAGTATAAAGGGACATCATGCAATTTTTAAAGTAGATGGGGAATTTACTCTGAGTTTCGAAACCACGAGAGAGTTATGGGTAATTTTGCCAAAAAAAAATAAATACTACTATTAACTATGAATGTAAACAAGATTTTATGTGAGATTTTAAATAAAAGTTATAAATTTATTTAGTTTTATTTTGTTATTTTAACAAAAAAATAAAAATAAAATATTAAATTAAAGTATATGTTTAATATGATATGAAATATTATTTGATGCAGTATTTTAAATAAATTCAATAACTATTTTTTACCTTTCTTTTTTTATATTTGTCTTGAAGATTTCTTTTTTCAATAGAAATAGTCAATAAACTAATACAAAGTATATTTAATTTTTATTTAAATTGTAAATATATTATTATGCATAATTAATTTATATATAAATTCAAATGATAAAAATGTCAAATTTTTTTACATATTTTTTATAATTAATAAAATATTATTATCTTTTAATTTACTATATATTATAAAAAATTTATTTGCAGTGGGACGGGAGTATAAAAGTAAATATATAATCTTTTGAAGAAAAAAATAGAAAAAAAAATCTGAAAAACACAACCAAACAAAATCTAACGGTTCCAATCTTTTTTGTATTCTTCTTGTTTATTTTTTTATACTATACAATTCTATCATTTTATAAAAATATTCAATTCCTAAGCAATATATTGTAGCCCATTATTTAACCTACAAAAAATAAAGATAATTTTCCAAAATATCCCCATCATATAACTCTTTTTTTTTTTTTTAATCCGTCTTATAATAAATAAATAACTCAGTTATATATCTTAAAGTCGTAATAGATAACTTTTTTTTTTCTTTTGTATGTTTTACATATATATATATATATTTTAGAGCAAAAATTATTTTTGGTCTCATTCAATATTATAATTATCAATTTTGGTCCAATTCAAAAAAATTATCAATTTTGGTCCAACTCAAATGAAAATTTATCAATTTTAGTCCTAAAATAGTTGATTGGCACTGAACACGGCCGTGTTGGATGACGGTGACTGGGCAATCCAGGCAGCCAACACGGTCCGTGTTGATTACCATGCAATTCTGAACATGACCGTGTTCCTGCACATGTTCTGAGCACAACCATGTTTCTGCCCATGTTCTCAACACAGCTTAGGCCATGTTCATGCACATGTTTTCAACACAGTCATGTTCTAAGTCATGTACACGACCACGTTTTCAATATAATCATATTGTAGGTTATAGTTATTATTATTTTCACTTGTTGGTTAAAATTATTATATATATATTTATAGTTCAACAAAAATATTTTTTACAATTATTTCATAATATAAAAATAATCAATTTTTTATATTTTAAAATTATATAAAAATAATAATATATTAATATATATATTTTAATAATCATTATATATTTTTAAAAATTTATCGTAAAAATTTTAAAATATTATTTTACATTAATTATTTCTATAAATTATAAATTAAATTTATTATTCAAAATAATATTTAAAATAATACTTCCTACGTCTCACGTTGGATATTGGGTCACTGTAGACACGAGAATTTAGAATAAGTATAATTAGTAGATAATTAAGAATGTATTACTGAAAATAATTATCATATAATATAAATAATTATAAATTAAGATTAAGATAACATATTAGTTTAATTAAAATTAAAAAAAATAAATTAAAAAAGTGTGTAATTATTTTCAAAAAAAGAAAGTGATATAGAATGTAGGATGGACAGAAACGGCAATGTGGCATGGTAAGTGGGACGGAGGGAGTATTATTAAAAATATATTAATATATTATTATTTTTATATATTTTTAAAATATCAAAAATTGATTAATTTTTATATTATGAAATAATTGTAAAAAATATTTTTGTTGAATTATAAATATATATATCAAATAATTTTAACCAAAAAGTGAAAATAATAATAAATATGATCTACAATATAATTATATTGAAAACATGGTCGTGAACATGGCATAGAACATAGCTGTGTTGAGAACATAGGCATGAACATGGTCTAGAACATGACTATGTTGAGAACATAGGCAGGAACATGGGCATGAACGTTCAGAACACGGGTAGGAACACGGCAGTGTTCAGAAGTGCAGGGTAATCAACACGGCCGTGTTGAGACCAACACGGCCATATTGGCTGCCTGGGATGCCCAGTCACCTTCTGAGTCATCTAACATGGCCGTGTTCAAGCCATCACGGCCGTGTTCAGTCCTAGTCAACCATTTTGGGACTAAAATTGATAAATTTTTATTTGAATGAGACCAAAATTGATAATTTTTTTTTGAATGAGACCAAAATTGATAATTATGATATTGAATGGGACCAAAATTGATAATTATGATATTGAATGGGACCAAAAATGATTTTTACTCTATATATTTTTTTTTTTGGGTAAAAGTGACTAAAACAAAATATACTTAATAAGTATATATAATATATAACATAATACATTATTTACATATGTCAAAATCTTTGTATTTCTATCCCTCTCTTAAAAAATATTTAAAATTTCATCTCTTTTATAAAATTTGTCTATATTAATTATAAATAAATAAGCGCATTTATTTATATTATATGAAATTTTATTCACTACAAAATAATATTCATATTGTAATATATTTTTATTGAGATATAATTTTTAGAGTATTTAAATAAATATTCTAAATTTTTTTAATTATATATATTAAATTTATTATAAAACCACAATATTATTAATTACATAAAAAATAATAAAATAATTCACAACTCACTTTTATTAACTAATTAAGCATTATTACCTTAAATATCGCATCACTAATGAAAGAGATCCATTGTTTTGGGATGGAGAAAATACTTAATAAATATAAATTAATTTAATTACATTTATAAACTATTACACATAAAACCCATATTAATCTCTTTATTTATATATCTCTTCAATAACCAATTTTTTTTGTTTGTATTTAAAACTCCAAAGTTTATATAAAAACTTAGTTTTAAATTAATTATAAATAAATAAATATTTCTCCGTCTCTTAACAAGCTATCTACTTTTTTATTTTGTTCTGTCTTTATTTCTCTTTTTAGTAGCTGTACTATCTATCTAACATTAAAAATACTCTTATAAATTACAATATATTACAAAAATATTATTACATTTATATCATACAACGCTAATAAGGTTATTTTTGTCATTTTTACTTTATTTCCACTACATACCAATATAATACTAATAAACATAAAATTCCATGCTAAAGTATTTATTTGGATACTTCTTTAAGGGGGCGAAGGGAGTATATCTTTTTTATTTATTTATATTAATATAAAATTTTATTATCTACAAAATAATATTCATATTGTATATATTTTATTGAGATATAATAATAAAATATTTTTTTAAAAAAATACCAATAATACTACTCGTATAATAATAAAATAATATTATAATTTATTATTAAAAAATTAATCTATATTATCTAAATAACCGTGTCTATACAATCTAAATATTTAAACTCTAGGGTGTGTTTGTTTGAAGGATTTTGGAGGATTTCTACTATTCATCCAATTTTTTCCCCCCAAAAACATCACATCAAACACCTATTTTTCATTTTTTATATTATACTAAAAATCAATTTTACATTCAAAACATCAGATCAAACCCTATTTATATCACATCATACAACTATTCAAATTCAAAATTTTTACTATTCAAATCCCAATCCAAAATCCAAACCCCCAAACAAACACACCCTAAATAAACATGCGTTTTCAAATATTTTTACATGTATATATATCCTTTTTAAAAATAAAAATTATTTTAAATATCTAACTTTTATTTAAAATACTACTTTTAAAAAGTTTTATTCTTTTTATATTATCTTTTTTTTTTATTTTACAATTTTCAAAAAAAAAATAATAACTATTTTATCTCAAAAATATTGTCAATTTGATGGATTGACTTAAAAAAATAAGTAGAAGGAAAATGCAGAAGCAGAACCCAAAAGCAAAAACAGTTCGATTTTGTATTTGGATAAATCATTATAAAATCAGCCTTTTGTAAAAAAAACTATTTGGACGTTATAGAGTTGATAGTCCTTATAAAATATTAAAATTACTCAAAAGGACTTCGTCCCTTAACAATCTATCTATTTTTTAATTTTGGTCCGTCTCATTTCTTTTTTTAATAACTTAACTTTCTACTAACATTGAAAATACCCTTACAACTTATAATATATTACAAAAATGTCATTACCTTTATGTCACACAATACTAATAAGGTTATTTTGGTCTTTCTCTACTTTATTCATACCGTATCTCAATATAATACTAATATTCCTAAAGCTCTGTGCAAAAAACAAACATATAGATAGATAAGGGACGGAGGGAGTAGCACTTTCTATAAAACTTTTATAATTTATTTTAACTTTTATTAATTATAAAGATTTTAAATTAAAGTATAGAAAATATATTTTTTAAAATTTGGTTATTTATTTTTTTAAATTTTAATTGAAGGATAATATATCAATTAAAAATACAATTATAAAGTAAACATTTCATTAAATACCTTACTTTTCTCACAAATACCCTTACTTTAGATCACATCGTTACTTTTACACCAAAAAAGTAAAGACAAAAATGTAATTACACTCCTTTTAACCACTAACTATAATAAAATACTATTATTTCTTAAATACCGTACCAAAAGTAAATATTTATTCTATTTGAACGAAAGAGAGTATTAAATTATTTGTATTTTATAATTTATTTTAAAATTTTATAAATTGTATTTAATAATAATTTTAGTATAATTAAAAAAATTATATACTCCTGTCTAAATTTAATATCTCCATTTTAAATATTAATTCAAATATAATATATAAATTAATAATAATATAATAATATATTTTAATTTTTATTAAAATACAATATATAAATTAATAATTTTTATATTATATAATATTATAGTATTGTATGTGATACCCGAGTTTCTCACTACTCATTGGCCAATATATATTTTATATTTTAGGTGCTGATATATTACTTATATGTTAAATTGTTTATAATTTGGTATATGCGCTTACCTACTTATTAATAATAAAATATTATCATAATTTATATGAGATTCTAGTAGATAAAAATAGATTTGGTAAATTATTTGGATATTGATGTAAATTAAATATAGATCACTTGAAAATTTATTGTAGTAATTAAATAAAAAGTAAAATAAATAAAATAACTAAATACATAAAATAATAATTATGAAAATAATAATAATAATAATAGTAATAATAATAATAAAAAATATATATATATATATATATCTAAGGCGGTGGGGCGGGGTAATAACCCCCAGCCCCACCTTATCCATTTCAATTCAATTTGAAGAATGCACGGAGAAGGCAGAGGAAATGAAACGCGAAGAAGAAAAGAAAAACAAAAAAAAATTTTAATCGAATTTATTAAAAGTCTAATTCAGGTATTTTTTGTGTTCACGAATTATAGCTATTTTACTAAATAGAGGAAGTTTTGAGTAGAAATAATTATTTAGTAAATTGGGGTAATATTTGTAATTAATTGTTTTTAGATACGATACTGGAATCGGAAAAAGGACTTTAAGAGTTAGGATTATTGACGTTTTGACGAATTTCAGGTAAGTAGAAACTCATTTGCAACTACAATGCATAAATATATTATTTTGTAAGTTATTTATGTTCGTTTGATAATATGTGAATATCAGAAAACTGTGATTAATATTATGTGATTGTGTGGTTCGAGCCTGTGAACTCTATATTTGATGTTGAAGGAGTCTGTGAGCTCCAAAATTGATGTGGTTTGAACCAATGAGTTCAATAATATATGTATATTGTGAAATATGTTGCATTGCATTTTCATTAAACATGCATATCATGCATTGAAATGAAATAAGATGGTTTTACTATGTTCGACTGCTGATTATACACCGAGGGCGGGAGAGGCGACCTGGGAAGAAGCGACCTGGGAAAACCTGGTGTAGGCTACCTGGTGTAGGCCACCGTCTATTGTGACTTTGCATACAATGCTTAAACAATGCATTCGGAAGAGGCGACCTGGGAAGAAGCGACCCGGGGAAACCTTACGAGGAAACCGGTGTAGGCTACCTGGTGTAGGCCACCGTTTGATTTGAATATATGGATATTGAGCTCTTCCGGTGTATGACAGTGTGTCTAGGGGCCCTGGAAAGTATTTCATAAATAAATTGGTGATTTCAAATGAGAGCACATTCTGCATAGTGAGAATTTTGAGATAAACTTCACATCATGCATAATTTCTACTTACGGAGATTTATAAATCTCACTCAGTTTATGCATTGTAGGTAATCCTAATGATATATGACTTGGTGGACAGACTGGAGTAGCCATGACGCTCTTACAGGCATTTTGAGTTACCGTGTACATAGATGACGACCTGCGGGCAGGACCGTGGCTTGACCGTGGCTTGTTTTGCTTTCGTTGTGCTATATTACGTCTGTTTTAGAAGTTGTATGGTATTATTATAAATAGTATGTCGATTGTGTAGTTTTTGATATGGTTTGAGATCCTTTTGGTTAATATTAATAGGTTACTGTTGAGTTATGTTATGTTTTGCTGAAAACAAAAATTTATAACAGGTGAACAGGTTGTTATAGATGTAAGTAATTAAGATGGATTATAGCATATTTATTGTTTACAAATAGGTTGAAATGGCGTTAGTAGTATAGTGTAAGTGGGGTCGTATCATTGTATTTTATTATTATTATTATTATTAAAAATTAAAACAATAATTTTAACTAAAAAAAAAACTTCTGCTTATTGTAGAAATTACCCTAAATGTGCTTCTTAAACAACACTTTTCAAACTGTTTTTACTTTTGAAACCAATACAAACAAATCCTTTTTTTTCAAAAGTAGAAGACAAAAGTTCAGCAATCCAAACAGGCCTAAAACTCAAAACACAATTATCTGTATTTTACAAAAAAACATATAAAATTATAAATAATAAATACACAATCTGGGTGTGTTTATTTGGAAGTTTTGATTTTAAATTTTAATTTAAACAATTGTTTGAATATCTTTAATATTTTGAATATAGAATTGATATTTAATATAATATAAAAAATAAAAATATATATATTTAATTCAATATTTTTTTAAAAACAAAATTTTTAAATATAATCCCCCATTTAAACACGCCCTAATATGTTTGGATCCAGACCCAACCTATCAGGTGCAGAGCCTGTTAAAATAAGTTTTTCGTTTACAAATATCTTTCTCATCAACATTTCTCATCAACATCATACCTGTTTCAACATTCAAATAAAATAAAATAAATATTTTATTAAAAAAAATGATAAAAGTAAAACGATAATTAGAGATATTTTTAAAATTTTAGTTGAAATTAAAAAAAAAAAATTAAGAGAAAAATGTAATAAAAGTATTAACCTTTGTTGTAAATAAAAATGCTGAATAAAAAATAGTTCAATATTAATTTGTTAATTTTGCACAGACATATTTAAAAAAAAAAAAAAAAGAACTGAATAAATTTATCGAACATATAGAATAGAGAAAGGTAATTAGTTGTAAGAAGTGAAAATAATTATAAAAATAATAAGAAATGGACTACATCAAATGCTCTATTATAGTCTCTCCCTTCCATCCACTACCAATGTAACTCTAATATATTTATTTTTAATAAAAATATTCTATATTTTACACAATAAATTACATTTGAGTGAAGAAGGGAGTATATTCTAGGTATATACTTCAAACATCCAAGTACACTCAGAAATACAAACACCCTAATTAATTAAACAAAAATGACCAACCATGAAAGGAAATGAACTCCAAAATTGCTACATGAATAATGCAAACATTTAAGGCTACATTGTTACCCAGAAGCATAGCATAGTCCAAAACTTAAGGTTAAAATTCAGCTTCTACCAATGCTACACACAGGCGCAATTTTTTAAGTCTACAACAACAACAATAAAAGCATATTATACTCTTGTCAAGATAGCAGCAAGCACAAGAAGCATCGAAAAAACATTTCGCCGAATGAAAAATTAAAATTAACTTACATGGCTTAAGATGAAATTGGCTTCATAGCTACTTCTCCATCAAGCAGTCAACTTCGTCTTGTGAATAGCCTGCAGTGCCATTGCCACTGCCACTGGACCTGTGAAATAGAGATGCCAGACGAGAATTGGTTGATCAACACAGATGAAGAGCACACGTAAATTTCCTTCTCAGGGTTTGTGAATCTTGAAGCCAAAAACCCTTTGAACATAATTCTGCGTCGGCTTTTGTGGCTTGAGGTGGCCGTATGTCATCAAGAACAGGTGAGGGAATGTGGTTCCAAAGTATGATCCATCGATATCTTTGGCAGTCAAGAAAAAAATCACCATAACGATTTACAACAATTGATCGCAGCCTAAAATGTAGTATCAAGTGAGTTTTCTATCCCAACACGTTAAGCTGTGCGCGTGTTTTCCCTTCTTCATCCAAAATAAATTATGTACACATTTAATATGCCATGTTCGACAGTAAAAGGTAGATGCATCAAATGAAAAACGAATTAAGGCTTAAAGCTTCAAAAGATCGTAATGTAAGGATACTGCCTTGGTACTTGGATCGTGGATAGTAAATGTCTTCACATTTGGGACAATATATCTTCACAGTACTCGAGCGCGGGATGTCTGATTGTCCAACAGGAAGACAAGGCTGTCCGCTGCAGTAAACTCTTGGACATCTTCCAAAGTCATAGTTTTTGTACTTCTCTAACTGTTAGTTACACAAGTCGATATACATAAATACCGAAACAAAAATAGATGGAATCAGCTGATGCATGATAGTCCATGAATAAAGAATGATATACCATTGCAGCCATTCCCTTGGTAGTCAAAATGTATCTGACATGGATAAGGCCGTAAAGCATTTCAGCAGCCGATTCAACCAATTCATTCTGTTCTTCAGTAAACATATCACCTTCATATGTTAATCGAAAAGTAAATAGTATCACCATTAAATATTCAACTTCTACGGTACAGATTTGGAAATCAGATGCACTAGAAAGAAATTAAACAATTTTTATTGCAGCTTTGACTAAACATGGAGAAAGGAACACCACAGAAAGGCCAAACAGCATCAACAGAAGCGAGCAGAATGTGATTCGCAAAATTCACAAGTACAAAGGTCCAAATCAAGATTCAAGGCAGCCACATTGTAGAAAACTCCAATGGGTTCAATAATACCAAATTTCTAATAGTCAAGGGTTTGTTTGGTTGTGTCGTCAAACTCTTGGTCTCACCATTAACATTTATTTTACATTCCTAACACCACATCAAACACATACTTGTATTATGTAAAACGATCATTTCAATTCAAAACTTTATCATTCTCAAAACGCAACCAAACTCCAAAATTTTACCTGTAAATTGAACACTACCAATGCTACTGTTAGATATATTATGGACAGGGGCAGTTTAGGTATTTTGGATAATTGTATTATATTAGGGGTTTTTGTATATTGTAATATTCAATTTTACGTCAATGAGAATCGCGATATTCTTCATGGTATCGAAGCCACCCTAACCTTGTCCAGCCACTCACCGACCGCCGCCTGCCGCTGCGCCGACCGCCGTCGCGCTGTCCTCCTCTCTCCCTTCCTTCGGTCTGGTTGTCCAGTTAAGGCTGTTCTGTTTTCTTTTTCTTCTTGGGTTGGATTGTTATTAGATTGTGGCTTAAGATTTCAGTTGCTTTTGTGATTCTGGATTTATTGAGCTTGATTCAATTCAAATATTGCCCTAAACATGTCTGCTTCTACTTCTTTTACGGGTATTCTTTCTCTAACCCCGGCCATTGCTACCGAATGTTTGGTTGGGGATTCTAACTATGGCTCTTGGTCTAAAGCTGTCTAAATGTGGTGTATGGGTCAATGTTTAAAAAATCATCTTGTTATTCCATCCATCCGCTCAGATCGCTGATCGAGAAAGCTGCATGGCTTAAGGCTGATGCTCTATTATGCAGTTTGCTTTAGCAATCTATTGATCCAAGTCTTCATCCAATTTTTACCAATTTTACAAACTATTATGATCTCTAGAGACATACGAAGACTTTATATACCAATGATATTCACCGCTTCTATAGTGTGGTATCTAATTTGGTCAATCTTTGTCAACCCGGATTGACAATTCCAGAGTATCTCGGTACTTTCATCCATCAAAGCTGAACTCAATTTAGTTTTACTCTCGTCCATGTTGCACTTATTGCAACAAGCAAGGCCATACTTGTGATAAATGTTTCAATTGCATGGCCGGCCACCTCGGGCTGTTGTTGCGCAGGCTGAAACTCCTCAATTATCGTGCAATTCTGTCACTTTGATTGGCTCCGACTATGAGGAGCATATTGCATACCAAGCTTCAAAGCAGTCATGTCCTTCATCCCTTGCCTCTATCGCTCACACCCTCTCATCACCTATCTAGTAATCCAAAATTATTTTCCGAATTTTCATAAGTCTACCTCGTTACTTGATGTTACTTTAGCTGATGGGTCACGAGTTTCTGTAAAGGCTGTTGGTGATGCTCAACCATTGCCATGTGTTCTCTTATGCTCTGTTCTTTTGTTCTTCATTGTCCATTTAATCTTGTTTTTATTAGTCAAGTAACCAAAACTTTGAACTGGTCAATAACATTTTACTCTGATTCCTTCTCTATTCAGGACCGTAGAACAGAGAGGATGATTGGAAAAGGGCTTGAGCTCCATGGATTGTACCACCTTGACCAACCTCCACCACTTTCACTCTCAATTGCATGTTCACTGCCGGTTCTTCTCAACTATTGCACCAACGGTTGAATCACCCGAGTCTCTCTAAGTTGCGTCGGCTTGTTACAAGCCTTTTTAGTATATCTTCATTGTCTTGTGAGTCGTGTCAACTAGGCAACAAACTCACGTTTTGTTTCCCCAAAAGATTAATAATAGAGTTGATATGCCTTTTGCTTTAGTCTACTCTGATATATGAGGTCCGTGTCGAACTACTTTTGTATTTGAGTTTCGGTAATTTATTACCTTTGTTGATGACTTCTCAAAATGTACTTCACTTTATTTGATGAAAGCTCATTCTAAACTATTTTCTATCTTTGAAACATTTTATGCTGAAATTCAAAATCAGTTTGGTGTCTCTTAAAATATTTCGGACTGATAATGCCACTGAATATTTCTCTACTCCTATGACTCAATTTATGTTATCTCGTAGTATTTTACATCAGTCTTCTTGTGCCTATACTTCTCACCAAAATGGGCTGGCTGAATGCAAAAATCGCCACCTAATTGAGACGGCTCATACCTTGTTTGTGCATCACCACATTCCTTTCCAGTTTTGGGCTGATGTTGTTCTTAGTGCCTGCTATCTTATCAACCGCATGCCGTCCTTGGTCCTCCGGAATAAAATTCCCCATCAGATTTTGTTCCTTCAAGATCCTTTATATCATTTACCCCTTCGTGTCTTAGGGTGTATTGCATTTGTTCATAATCACTCTTTAGGTCGGGATAAATTACCTTTTTTGAATCCACACTTTATTTCTCTACGTCATTATCGATCCCGACTGTCAACCACGTGTTACCTATTTTTTTCTCCTCTCCTCTTCTTTTGCGTCCACCTTTTCAGGTTTATAGTCGTTGTCCTCACACGCAAGTGTTCCCTTCCTATGGTTCTACCGCTCATGTTCCTCCAACGTCTATCGACTGTCCCGGCTCTCAAGACTTGCCATTGTTTTCTTCTCCTGCGGCTCCTATCTTGCCGGATCCTGCACCGTTACGACGAGATACTCGTTCTTCTCGTAATCCTCATTCCATTTACAATTTTCTTAGTTTTCATTGTTTGTCTCCCACATACTATACCTTTGTGTCAAACTTATCCTCCGTCTCTCTTCCTAAATCCTTTCGTAAAGCTCTTTCTCACCCAAGTTGGCGGTAGGCAATGGTAGATGAAATAGTTGCTTTGCATGCTAATGGTATTTGAGACTAAGTGTATTTTGCCTTTAGGTAAGCCCCCCGTGGCTTGCCGTTGGGTTTATGCAGTTAAGGTTGATTCGGATGATCAAGTTGCTCGTCTCAAGGCCCGTATGGTGGCTAAGGGCTTCACACAGGTCTTTGGTGAGGATTATACTGAAACCTTCTCACTTGTTGCCACAATGTCATCAATCTGTCTTTTTATTGCTTTGGCTGCTATGCACTCCTAGCCTCTTCATCAACTTGATATTAAGAATGCATTTCTAAATGGTGAACTTCAGAAGGAAATTTATATGGAGCAACCACCTAGATTTGTTGCTCAGGGGGAGTCTGGTCTAGTTTGCAAACTATGCCGTTCCCTATATGGATTAAAACAATCTTCGCGTGCTTGGTTCGGTCAATTCAGCAGTATTATACAAGAATTTGGCATGATCCAAAGTGCATTAGGCCATTAAGTCTTTTATAAGTACACAAGTGCTTATATCTTCTTACGTATATTGATGGTATTGTTATCACTGGAAATGATAAAAAATAGGTCATTCTTTTAAAGCAACACCTATTTAAGCATTTTCAAAAAAAATTTATGAAACCATTAAAGTACTTTCTTGGTATTGAGATTGCTCAGTCACGTGATGGTATTGTTCTTTCACAACAGAAGTACGCTTGGATATTCTTGAAGAAACTGGTTTGTCAGATTGCAAGTTAGTAGACTCCCATGGATCAAATTTGAAGCTTCTTTCGGGACAGAAGGAACCATTAGCTAAAGCAGAAAGATATCGTAGAATGGTTTATAAGCTTAACTATCTCACACTTACTCGACTTGATATCTTTTTTGTTGCAAGTGTTGTGAGTCAATTTCTTCAGTCTCCATGCGATAGTCACTTGGATGCTGCCATTCGAATCTTGAAGTACATCAAAGGGTCTCTTGGTAGAGGATTATTGTACACTAATCAAGGTCACACTGAAATAATTGGCTACTCCAATGCTGATTGGGCAGGATTTCCAGTTGATAGACGCTCTACTTCGGGATATTGCATTTTTGTGAGAGGTAACCTTATCTCATGAAAAAGTAAGAAACAAAATGTTGTTGCTCGACCAAGTGCAAAGACAGAATATCGAGCCATGGCATTAGCGACATGTCAACTTATTTGGGTAAAACAACTTCTTCATGAACTTAAGATGATGGAAGTTTCAGAAATGAAACTCTTTTGTGACAATCAAGCTGACTTACATATTGCGTCCAATCCGGTGTTTCATGAGATGACTAAACATATAGAAATTGATTGTCATTTTATTCGAGAGAAGGTGTTATCTGGATGTATAGCCACTCACCATGTTGCTTCAAATGATCAACTTGTAGACATTCTTAGTAAATCTCATAAAGGCCCTCAAATTAAATTTCTATGTGACAAACTTGGTGTGACACCCCAGCCCGCAAGCCACGCGAAGCCGAGCATGTTTGGATCGTAGACTGCCTCACAGGTCAATACGAGTCTTTCTAGCGCGCTTCTGCCCTCGCTTACTCGCACTCTAAGAGACTTCCCAGGGGTCACTCATCTTCAAATTACTCTAGAACAAACACACTTAATTCTAGAGTTCTTTCAATAGTATTTCCGAAAAGGAATGCGCACATTATTGACATGAGTAATTTATTCAATCTATTTAACATATATTCAACCTGGGATAGCACCGGCTCATCCACGGGAGTTGGCCTAGCACTGACCTAACTTCGGGGTATTACACTTGGATAATACAATGTGTATTCTCCAATATGAGGCAAAGAGTTAGATATATTATGTATAGGGGCAGTTTAGGTATTTTGGATAGTTGTATTATATTAGGGTTTTTTGTATATTGTAATATTCAATTTTACGTCAATGAGAATCGCGACATTCTTCAGCTACATTAAAATCAAACCAATGGAATAGAATCCAATTGATTGGAATTCCAGCAATGCATGATTATAAATTTATCGGACTAGGAGAAACGTCATGATGTTCTAATAGACATAAGTAACAAGATAGTTTGCAATGCCTTACATATATTGAAACAAATTATTAGAAGTAGGAACATGTACACCAAGGCATAACAAATTTGAAAGAAAAAAAGAAGCATGTGATACTACACTAAGCTCTTGTTCAAGTTGTCACAATAGAATAAAATAAATTGCTTACCATGAGAGGAGTCAATATCCAAAATCAGATCGAGAGCATAATCATAATATGGAACTTGACTGCTCAATCCGCACAGATTAAAATCATCTTGAATATAGTCCTCATCCACTTCACAGAAGAACTCATTTCCACGCAAGTTGCAAAACCATGAAATCCAGGATGTATCATCACCCTCAGAACCACTGACGTCGGACTCTTCACTATTTGTTTCAGATTCCTCTGCAAAACAGGATACATATGCAACTTTAACTTCTATTAATGAGTAGATTATCACACATGAAAAATACATACATAACAAAGATATGCAACTGAACCTTGTGTTTCATATGGTAGGGCAAGGATGTAAAATAATGAACTCTTCAATGTTTTAAAAAATTGTACAAAAACATTAATAAGACAATGAAGTACTCCTGAATTACATATATAACAAGCTAAATTCAACATTTATACCATTGCAAACATGGTATGAGTCAGAATATCACGTCAACAAACAGAAGCAGCAAAGTACATAGTAACTTGGAAAACTACAGAAGCAGGTAAGATACAATCTAACACTTTTTCTTTAGACGAACTTTCTAGCATAGAAGCAAGTTGTTTACAATCTAGTTGTATCATCATTCAAAATGTTATCTAGCTGTTTTCAATGTAGATGCTATCAAACATGCTTCCTCGAACACAGTAACTGCTAATGTACATAAGATTCTGCGCTCCAAATGGGCAGATTATCATCATCTAAAAAAAACATCAAATTGCTAAGAGTCTATACAGTGAGCAGAGTAGTTTATATACTTCTATGGCTATCACTGAGTTATCGCCCTGTGTAAAGATCCTTTATTAGATAAACCTTTGCCCTTCAAGAAAGCGGACAAAAACAGGTATTCTTTTACACACATGTGAAACATAGCCTTTCCAAAGCCTTGCTATGTTAAAGCATAGTTTTCCTTCCCTAGGCAACTTAACGCTGAAACTACAGCCCTAAACAATGACTTTCTTGCATCTCTTTTTCACCTTTAGACTCTGGCAACCCTGTAGAACACCTGAATAATTGCACATGCTTTTTCTCTGGTTCTAGATATCTAAAGTGTCTGGCTTAATTTCCTTCAAGTACAGGCATATATAAAATTAACAAAGCCATGAAATTCTAATGATGGCGGATTTCAGCGCTTTCCCAATTTCTCAAATGCTTATATATATATATATATATAGATAGATATATAGAAGTAGAGAAGAAATATATAAATACCATTTTCACAATGATAACTCTCTAGTTAGTCTCAGCATCCAGCTTAGAACAAAGCCAATGAGGTATACTCACAACTCAAAAACACAACATTTAGGCCACCGGCAATCACAAACTCCGTAAATGTTGCAACCACAGTGAAAATGCAATAGATATACAACAATTTTGCTCCATCCACAAACTCCAATTCTACTTTAAAAGGAATAGTCCCTACATATTTTACTTTTATATTAGTTTATTTAACTTCTCATATTTATAAATTGCACTCAATATCAACCACTTTTACATTAAAACCCAAAACTATATAATTCGATGACCTGGGATAGAACCTCGATGGGTTGACTTGATGGGGTTGAGTAATTGTTCCAAATAAGCATTATTTTGCAGTATTGTGAATATTGCTACTTCATCTTCTTGAATGGACTCTATGAAAAGTTTTCTACCTTCATCATCATCTGAAGATGAAAAGTAATCTAAAGAAAGAATATTATTCTAATAGGTCAAAGATGTGTTTGATGAATAATTATAGGCCGAATGAATACTAATTTATGGAATGAGTAGCTCAAGTGAAACTTAAATATATTATATATCCATATCCAACAAATGAAATGAGGATAAATTCCAAACCATCACTTGGGATTGGTCAAAGATGGATGACTAGATTTTTGATAATGTATAATATATGATAATTATTTGAATAATATAGTTCTATATTCAACAAATGAAACAAAGATGAAATCCAAACCATCAACTGCGATTGGTCAACAAGATTTGGATATCTTCCAAGATCCAATTATGGACAGCCAATAATCAAGGGATCAATTTTATAATCGAGTCACCAATGCATATAACCAAAACAGAAACACTGATTGGGAGATACATAGCGCCAAATTTTTACAAAACCAGATCCAAGTCATGGAGAAAGCTGTCAGAAAACAATTTGCTTGCATCAAGAAAGTAAAAATCCCAAAACCCAATGGTGCATCAGAGATGGACATTGTAAGTTTTTATCCTTACATTTACTGTTATTTTTTTCTATATAAAAAAAACTTATTTGTAACTTCAAAGTATTATTTGCAGTTAAATCAAACAAAAGAGATACTAATGAAATAAGATGCAAGCTTAAAAAGAAAAAAAGTTTTAAATTTGAGCGCATTTGGAACTTATTAAAAGATTTCGAAACACTTAATGATCACAATGAAGCTAGATACCCTTATAAAATATCTCAAAATAATGATTCCACCAAGATATCATCATCGGATAGCACTTGTTTTGAATCTCCCGTAGATTCATCATTTTCTATTAACTTAAATGAAGATGAGAGTCGGCCACCATTTAATTATATAATAATATTGGTGGTTCTTCATAGGAACGGGTGCATAAGAGTGAAAGAAACAAAGTGGAAGACAAAAATTGAAGATGAAGTTGTTGCCCATATTACTGAAGCTAAAGAACAAAATTAGGTGGTTCCAGAAATACTAAAAAAATCATCTTTTACAGACAATAATTTATATAAATAGAACGAAAGAAATTAACATTGAAGAGAATCACACATTTAGAAAAAAAAAAAATATGGACACAGACTTAATTTTATTCCTTGTTCATACTCAACATGCTTATTATTAACTCCAAAAAGAAGAAATTTTATGTAAAAGGGCAATGGAATTTCATAACCAAATCCTCAGTCTACTTCAAATGTGTTTTCCGAATATTTCAATCATATCGATGGAGATGGAAATGCTTATACTACTCCGTATTAAATTATTGTATTTCAATGTTTCATGTAATTTCTGTGGGTTGGGGATGGTCTTAGTAACTCACTCATATTAGCGGGTCACTGACAGAAGCAAATGAGGATACTTTTAATCCGTAACAGCAACAACATTCACCCAAATTATCTATACATACATACATATATATATATATTATAAACTGATAACCAAAGAAGAAAAGTAACATGAAAAAATTATCATGAAGGAAAACTAAAACAACTAAGAAAATTCTAAACAATACACACTGCCTGCCCCATTACTGGTATATAAAAACCACGAGATTCAATTAGATAATTACGAATAATAATTATGATAAATAAAAAATAAAAAAAATGAAACAACTCACCATCGGAAGCCTTATTCTTGTTAGTAGTGAGAGTGGACGAAGAGCGATTGTCCCGAGGGTCTAGATGCTTCCCCGCGGCAGCGGAGGAGGTGGACGGCGCGGCAATGGAGGCACCCTTGTTTCTGGACGACGATGTAGAAGACTTCTCCAAGTGCTTATCCAACGCATCGTTGATTCGCTTCCGATCCAGTAAATCTCCGCCCTTGGAGGGGCGCCCACCGCGATCTCTGTACATGATTCAATCAATTGCAGAGAAATTGAAAGAGGAATCCAGTGTATGGGGCTCGAATTTGAGTGCGGGAGGATGGAATTCGCGGAGCGTATGGGGATGGAAGCAGAGCGGAGAAATTTAGGGTTCGCTTTTGGGGATGAAGATAGAGATATGTTGCTTGTGAACGATTTCATGCCCATACTCCAATTTTTATTATTATTTTAATAAAAAAATTGTAATTTGTAATTAGTACGTTTCTTTAAAAAAATTTTAAAAAAAAATTAGTTTGAATTTGATATTAAAATAATATATAATATAAAAAAATATATTTTTTTTTTTAAAAATTAAATTTCGAGCCAAAGAAACATATAGATATATTAAATTTGTTCATCTAACATTTATGTGTGAAATGATTAAAATTTATTAAATATATAATATATACTATATATTTTTAAAATTTATAAAAAATAATTAATAATTTAATATAAAATATTATTTTTATATTATAAATATGATTCTTATAAATATAACATTTATTAAAAATATAAAATGAACAAATTCTTTTTTTAAATATTTTTATTGAAGGTGATTTTAAAAATATTACTATAAATAATTACTTTTATTTAAAAATATATACATCTTTAATCAAAACATAAATTTCTTATTTTACTTTTTTTGTTTGTTAAGTTAAAATTTCTATTTTATTTTTTTAAAAAATAACTTTCAAGTAAATATTAAAATTTTTTTATTTTTATATTATTTTTATTTTAATATTAATTATAAAATAAATATTATATTATTTTATTATATTATATATTTATAAAATACTAATTTAATTTAATTTAATTTACTTGTAAAAAATTTAATGAAGAAAAGAAGTATTGAATATAATATATTTTAATTTTTTTTTTAAAATGTATAGTACCTTGATTAAATTGAAAATATATGGATGTGTTTATTTTTTTATTTTATATAAAAAATATTATAATTTAATTTATACGATTTTTCATAAAAATATATTATTTTTTTATAAAATATTAAATTAAAATATTATTTAAATCAAACTAAAAGTCAAATAATACAAACAACATTGTTCATTTACTCATTTTAATTCATAAATTTATAAGATAATTTATTATCAAATCTTATGTGTTTTTTTTTTTTAATTTTTAAATTGAAATCAATATTACTTCCGTCTCAACATAATTGAACTCTTTCATTAGTGATACATATTTAAAAAAATAATCTTTAATTGACTTAATAATAGTTAATTATAATTTTATTTTTTATTTTTATATTATTGACAATATTAATATTTTTAAATTAAATTTTAAAATATATAATTAAAAAAATTAGAATATGTATTTAAATATTTTAAAAATTATATCGTAATAAAAAATATATGCAATATGGATATAGTTTTGTAGAGAATAAATTTTTTTTATAATAAAAATAAATAAAAAATACTTTTATTTATTTATAATTAACACAACTAATTTTACAAAAAAAAGGTGAAGTTTTAAATATAGAAAAAAAATATTTATTTTTATAGGAGAGCGACAAAAATAAATAAAAGAGTTTTGAATATGTCCTATATAATTTATGATATTATATGTTAGATAGTTAATTAAGTTAATTTATATTTTTTAAATATATTTTAATTTAATAAATTTTACTCATAAAAATATGTCAATTATTATGGAATAGATAAAAATGAAAAATATATCAATTATTAGAAAATATCAGTTATCTTTCACTACAAAAGCCTCGTTCTCCTCATTTTTCCCACATCCGTTTTTATCTCTAACTACCTGTCATGCCGCTAACACCATCACCACCAAAATCCAGTTGTTCCTTCACCATTACTTTCACCACATTTTCATCTTCACATTCACTGGTTGCTCAATTGTCGCTAGAGCTGTTAATGAGCCGAGTCGAGCCAAATTTTAAGTGTTCGTTAACATTCGTGAACAAGGCTCGTGTTCGTTTATTAAGTTTTCGAGTTTGGCTCGTTAAGATTTTTGTTGTTTGAGTTCGTGTTCGTGTTTGGCTCGATTAAACTCATTTGAGTTCGTTCGAGCTCGTTTGTCTTATTTTTTAAATTTATATATAAATTAAAAGGAAAATTTAAAATTATTTTATTTATATATTTAAAATTAATATTTTATTTATTTATAAATTATAATTTTATATGTATATATAATATTAATAATAAATATATGATTTAAACGAACGTTTACGAACAAAACTCGGGCTCGTTCGTTAACCAAACGAGCTTGTTTATGTTGTTCGGTTCGACTCGGCTCGTTAACGTTTGCGAACAAACTTTAACCGAACCGATTTGAGTCGAACCGAGCCGAGTTCACGAACGGCTCGATTTGTTTAACAACTCTAGTTTCCGCCACCTCTACCACCACCAAGCATCAATTGCTCAACCACCAATCAAGATTCAGTGATCAACACATTGGACCCAACTCTTTCTTTCCTCAATTTATCATCATTTTCACTATCTAACTTCAATGAAACGATTGTAATTAATTCAACACAGTACCAAAAGTATAAATTCACGAGTCCATGAGAGAAACCCAATCCACAAGAAGGATGAAGGATCTTAAAGTTTCTACACTAACGGTTATTTTTTTTAGGATTAATAAAATCATTTAGACTTTGGGAGTTACTTTGTTAATAAAGTGTGTTTGTAAAGTATAATTAGGAGATAAAGACTAAGATAAATAGACATATGGACAACAATATAAACACTCTAACAATAACTTTCATTGCTTTTTTTTTTTTTTTTAACATTTTTCATTGTTCTTCTTTTTAGTTTTAGTGTGTGCATCATATGCATTAGGTCTCATTGTTATTTTTGCTTTTGTTCTTTTGTCTTTTAATTTAACATTCAAATATTCTTGCTTATCATCTAGTCTTTTTATTAATTTTGTTTGAATTTTTTGCCCTCTTATCCATTATTTCAACATTCTTGAGTGTTTATTGTCTTCTTAATTCGATTTTCTTTATCTTTTTTTTTTCATTTACCGATTATATGTGAGACAAAACCCGAAGGCCTTTTTGAATTCTCCGGAGTATCCACAAAATAGCTTTCCGACCGGCTTAGTTCGTAGGCCATCCAAAGAAAATCAATTTTGGAGATAACATGTTTTGATTATGGTGAATAAACACAATAATTAATTCTAATCAACACATTAAAGATGATGAATTCTAATCAACACATAAAAGATAAACAAAAAGCACATATTTTCAATTAGTAGAACACATGTTGTATCAATTGAAGCATGTGATGATAATTATACTTTATAAATGAGTTGTATTAACACATCTTATGTGTTGAAATCAATAGTATTATATGTTGTGTGGATTATTATTATATGTTATTAGTTTATTTGATATATTTGCATTATATTAATATAAATGTGTTGCTAGCTTATAACACATGTAATGTTTTTTTTTAAAAAAATAATGTGGGAACTGACAGTCATTACTCGACGAGTGCGCTGTGAGTAAACCCCTGAACGAACTTAATACCCTGAAAACTAGGTCCAAAAAAATAATATATGTAATGTTTGCACATATTGGTTGTGGTGTTAGCATAGTAACAAAAGTCAAATATCAGTGATAAAAACTCGAGTGTGTGATTGAATACTTCTTTTGTCTGCCAAATTTATTCTCATATTTTTTTTTCTCCTGTCCGTTAAATTTATCTTATTACTATACTTGAAAAAGTTAAAAAGTCAATATTTAATTATTACTATTCATTCAACACTTATTTACCATAAATACCACTAACTTTATTATATTATTTCTCCATTCTCTTTAATTTTTAATTAATTTTTCAAAAATACCCACAACTACTTTTCTACTTTTTTTTATTTTTTAAATAAAATATTTATTTTTTAATCTGCGAGCCGAGCCCAAATGAGCTAAATATCCCAGACGGAGGAAGCATATATGAATATGTTTATTTTTTATTTTATTATATCATTTTCTATATAATATTATTTCAATTATAATTAATTTTAAATAATGCACTATGGTCAATATATGAATTATCACATTTATTGACTATTTTCACTTTTTAACAACAAATATAAAATACTATAAAAAATAATATTATACGCCCTTTGATATTGGACATCAAATTTATGTTTTGATATTTTTTGTTCCTTATAGAATTAACTATTCATACTTTTATTTCTTATAGAATTGACCATTTATGCCTTCATAATGAGTAGATTTTTTTTCTTGGTTTCTTTATTTTTTGAGTTAGGTCATTAGACTTGGGTCTTCGTCTATCATCAGGAGGCTTCTCCGACCAATATATGAGTTTGATGCTCGTTGATGAGCTCTTAAAGTTTTTTTTTTTTTAATCCAATTGGTCATCTTCTCTCATTTGAGTGGAGTTTTGCTCAATTTTTGTTGTGTTATTTGTTTGGCAAGATATCTTCTCCTTTGGTGGCATTTGAGTGGAGTGGATGTATGGGTGTCCCATTTTTTCATCTCAAATGTTGTGATGTCCTATTATATTGTGATTGAAGGTCTGAGGTGCTTGGGCTAGCTATTGTGGTGTTTCTCTCCAATTTTTTAGTAGTTGTTTGTCGTTGTTGCAAGTGTGTTTGAGACATTCTCTAAGTGTCAGTTGTTTGAGTGTGTTTGGTGTTGTGTTTTTGTTGGTGGAGGTGAGTGAGCACATTCCTTCATGCTACATTTTTTGCTTTTTAGAGCTTAGCAGTGCATTTTTCTTTTGGATTAGTTAGACTTTTCATCTATTTATTTGATTCAAATTTATTTTGGTTGGCTGCTATAGTATTTGGGTGGTTGATGTCTTGTTTATCGTATTGAAATGAATCACTTTCGGAAGCTAAATTTGAACCGTGTGAAATTAGAGTCCCTCAAAATGTCTTCTTGTCTCCGCTCATTCGTCAAGTGAAAGTAGTTTGTCAAATGATATAATGAAGGTCATTTCTATGGAGAAAACTCACCAAAAATTACCAAATTGGATTGAGAAAATAGCCAAAATTGTAAGTTCTCAAAATTGTATATCGAGTTTCACTATATTCCCAAATGTGACACTTGTGTAATTCCAATTGATGTTGTTGTGGATATAAATTGTTTTTGGCATTATGAATTGCTTGGCTATTATTTCCAAGAAAACCTGGCTTTAAAGT